GTGGATGGAGTCTGTCTGCTTGTGTCTACTCTATCTTCGATCGCGGTGCCATCCACCCGCCGTCCAACATGCTGTGAGATGCGTGCTTAGCTCCTACATCTCTTGCTTTTTCTGCACACCCCCGTTTTTTTTCTCATTCTAGTTTTCTCTCTCCACCTTCACCAAGTTGGACAAAACTTTTTCTTTTCATCAAGTTTTGATTGCTCATTACGCTATGACACGTGGTAAACGGGAGAAAACGTATACTAAAATGTTTGACTGCATCCCACAAATATTCGAATAGTTCTTGTTTACACCTTTGGGTTGGTATGATATTTTATTGCGCAGCATAGCATGTTTACACCTCTCTTTTTTTTTGCTAGATTATAATTTTATCTCTTAAAATACCAGTTGGTCTGAATTTGGCAACGTGGAATTCTTATTAGCTTATTATTGTCTTTAACATGATTTTCAAAGAAAAGTAAAATGCAATTCAAGAGTTGCTAACTTGTTTGTTCCTTTCAGTTAGCGGGTCCGATTATTTTAGAATTCAAAATGTAATTGGTTGTTGTTCTCAAGTAAATGGGTGAGATTATTTCAATAATCAATACGTCACCTTTTTACTTTGCATTACTGTATATAAGTATGTGGCATTATGCGGTTTAGTTCCTGTTTATGTATGTTCATCAACTAGTTTGTTAACTCCTTTTTTTTGTTACTCCCTGAAAGTTTCTAAGATGTGTGTGCTGTCTTTTCGAATGTGGTCTCTAATTGTGCAATATATGACCTGCTACAATTTTATTTACTCATTGCAGGCAAGTCCACGCTTATAGATTCTCTTGTCATAGCTGCTGGGATTGTTAGACAGGAGGCTGGTGATGTTCCCATGACTGATACCCGTGTAGATGAAGCAGAGCGTCGTATTTCCATCAAAGCCACCGGAATCTCTCTTTTGTATGAAATGAATGACGAGTCACTCAAGGCTCACAAGGGTGAGAGAGATGGGAACAAATACTCCCTCCGTCCCAAAATACTTGTCGAAGAAATTGATAAAAATAGATGTATCTACAACTAAAATACATTTAGATACATCCATTTGTCCGACAAGTATTTCCGGACGGAGGGAGTACTTGATTAACCTTATTGATTCACCTGGGCACGTTGATTTTTCTTCTGAAGTCACAGCTGCTCTTCGTATTTCTGATGGTGCTCTGGTGGTAATTGATTCTATCGAGGGTGTCTGTGTGCAAACTGAAAGTGTGCTGTGCCAAGCTCTTGGTGAGATGGTTAGGCCTGTACTTTGTCTGAATAAGATGGACGAATTATTTCCTGGGCTTCAAGGTGAAGTTGTGAAGCATAAATTTACAGGTGAGCAAACATACCAGATTCTGAACAATGCCATTCAGAACCAATACCATTGTGGCAACACATGGAGACGCCCACCTTGGAGATGTCCAGTTCTACCCTGAGAAGGGAAATGTGGCATTCTCTGCTGGATTACACGGCTGGGCTTTTACGCTGACTAGCTTTGCTAAGGTGTATGCTCCGAAGGTGGGTGTGGAAGAATCTTATATGGTTAAGAAGCTTTGGGGCGACAACTTTTATGACCACACCACAAAGAGATGGACCAAGGAGAAGACCCGTTCCAAAACTTGTAAAAGAGGATTTGTCTTGTTCATCTATGATCAAATCGAGAGAATGATCCAAGCC